GGGGTTCATCCCACTCAGAATTCCCAACCTCAGGGTTCGTCCCACCCGGGATTCCTGATCCTGGGGTTCATCCCACTCGGGATTCCTGACCCTGGGGTTCATCCCACCCAGAATTCCAGAGCCTGGGATTCATCCCACTTGGGATTCCTGACCTAGGGATTCGTCCCATCCTGGACTCCAGACCCCAGGATTCCAAACCTCAGGGGTTCATCTCCCCCAGGACTCCAGAACCTGGAATTCATCCCACCTGCCACTCCAGACCCCAGGATTCCCAACCCCAGGATTCCCGACCCCGGGGTTCATCCCACCCAGGGTCCCTGATCCCAGGGTTCATCTCACCCGGGATTCCTGACCCCGGGGTTCATCCCACTCAGAATTCCCAACCCAGGGTTCATTCCACCTGAGATTCCTGACCCCAGGATTCCCAACCTCGGGGGTTCATCCCACCCAGGATTCCCAACCCAGGGTTCATTCCACGTGGGATTCCTGACCCCAGGATTCCCAGACCCTGGGATTCATCCCACCCGGGATTCCTGACCCCGGGGTTCATCCAGAGTCTGGAATTCATCCCATCTAGGACTCCAGACCCTGGGGTCCATCCCGCCCGGGATTCCTGACCCTGGGGTTCATCCCACCCGGGACTCCAGACCCCAGGATTCCAAACCTCAGGATTCCCGACCCAGGGTTCATCCCACCTGGGATTCCCGACCTTGAGATTCATCCCACCCGGGACTCCAGACCCCAGGATTCCCAATCCCAGGGTTCAATCCACCCAGGATTCCCAACCCTGGGGTTCATCCCACTTGGATCCCCAACCCCAGGATTCCTGACCCCGGGGGTTCATCCCACCCAGGATTCCCAACCCAGGGTTCATCCCCTCCACGATCCCCAACCCCAGCGAAACTTGGGATCGCAGCGGGGCGACCCAGACTGCCACAATTCCCCTTTTTCCCCCCTTCCTTCGCCAAAATTCCCAGAATTTTTTCCCCAGGACCCACCGCTGGGTTTCAGGTACTTCTTGGCGTGCAGGTAGCTCTCGAGCATGCGCTCGTTGAAGAGCATGTAGCCCATGGGCTCGGAGATGATGATGTCAACCTGCTCGGGCAGGGACACCTCCTCCACCTTCCCCGGAACCACCACGATCCGCTCCGTCAGGTTGTTGCTCTTCACCAAAACCTGGGGAATTAACCAAAAAAAACAGGGGTTCTTCACCAAAACCTGGGGGATTAACCAAAAAAAATAGGGGTGAAAAGGATGGGGGAGGAAGATCCGCTCCGTCAGGTTGTTGCTCTTCACCAAAACCTGGGGAATTAAATAAAAAAAGGGGGTGAGGAAGATCCGCTCTGTCAGTTGTTGCTCTTCACCAAAACCTGGAGGATTAACCAAAAAAAACAGGGTGAAAAGGATGGGGGAGGAAGATCCACTCTGTCAGTTGTTGCTCTTCACCAAAACCTGGAGAATTGTTAAAAAAAAAAGGGGGTGAAAAGGTTGCTCTTCAACAAAAGCTGGAGAATTAACGAAAAAAGGATGGGGGAGGAAGATCCGCTCCGTCAGGTTGTTGCTCTTCACCAAAACCTGGGGATTAACCAAAAAAAAACAGGGGTGAAAAGGGTGAGGGAGGAAGATCCGCTCTTCACCAAAACCTGGGGATTAACCAAAAAAAACAGGGATGAAGAGGATGGGGGAGGAAGATCCACTCCGTCAGGTTGTTGCTCTTCACCAAAACCTGGGGAATTAAATAAAAACAGGGGTGAAGAGGATGGGTGAGGAAGATCCGCTCCGTCAGTTGTTGCTCTTCACCAAAACCTGGGGGATTAAATAAAAAAAGGGGTGAAAAGGACCCCCCAAATCTTGAGCTGGAGGTTGAAATCCTTCCTGGGGATTTTTGGTTGAAGGGTTTTTGGGTGTGAGGTGGGGGGGGTTGAGGGCGGGTTTGGGAAGGGAATAGAAGTGAAATGAGTGAAATAGAGTAAAAAAAATAAAATAAAGTTAATAAAATAGTGCTGGAATACGTATTTTATTTTTTTACTCTATTTTACGTATTTGAGTGCTACTTTATTATTTTACTTTTTTACTCACTTTTACGTATTCGAGCGCTATTTTATTAACTTCAAAATAGAATTAAAAAATTATATAAAGTTAATAAAATATGTAAAATAGAGTAAAAAAATAAAATTAATAAAATAGTGCTCAAATATGTAAAATTGAGTACAAAAATAAAATAAAGTCAGTAAAATAGTACTTGAATACATAAAATAGAGTAAAAAAATAAAAATAAAATAAAATAAAAATAAAAATAAAATAAAATAAAAATAAGGAGCTCATCCCTGTGCTCCTCCAAGGCCTCGGGGACATTCCAAGGGTCACCTCGGGGCCGTTCCGCCTGTCGGAATTCCCGGCGGGAAAGGTCCCCCAGGAGGAGGAAAGGGCCCCAGGAAGGTGCCAGGGGTTTTTCCAGGTTGGGAATGTGGGAGAGGGGCTGGGAATGTGGAAAAGGGGGTTCCTGACCTCGGCGTGCTGGGCCATGGTGCTGGCCTCCACCGCGTAGATCTTGCGCGCGCCCGCCTGCGCCGCGAAGAACGACAGGATCCCAGAGCCACAGCCCACGTCCAGCACGATCTGGGAATGGCAGCAGTGGGAATGGAACCTCCCGGAGATCTGGGATGCAGCCTGGGATTTGTCCAACCCAGGAGTCCAGAGCCAGGGGTTTATCCCACCCAGGATTCCTGAGCCTGGGGTTCATCCCACCCAGGATTCCTGACCCCGAGGTTCATCCCACATGGGATTCCAGAGCCAGGGGTTCATCCCACTCGAGATTCCCGACCCCAGGGTTCATCCCAGCTGGGATTTCTGACCCCGGGGTTCATCTCACTCGGGATTCCTGACCCCAGGGTTCATCCCACACGGGATTCCTGACCCCAGGGTTCATCCCACAAGAGATTCCCGACCCCGGGGTTCATCCAATCCGGGATTCCTGACCCCGGGGTTCATCCCACACAAGATTCCCGACCCCAGGGTTCATCCCACCCAGGATTCCCGACCTTGGGGTTCATCCCACATGGGATTCCAGAGCCAGGGGTTCATCCCACATGGGATTCCCAACCCCAGGGTTCATCCCAGCTGGGATTTCAGAGCCAGGGGTTCATCCCACCTGGGATTCCTGACCCCAGGGTTCATCCCACTCGAGATTCCCGACCCTGGGGTTCATCCAATCCGGGATTCCTGACCCCGGGGTTTCATCCCACTCGGGATTCCCGACCCTGGGGTTCATCCCACACGGGACTCCAGACTCTGGGGTTCATCCCACTCAGGATTCCCAATCCCAGGATCCCTCCATCCCATCCAAGACCCCCAACCCCAAGGTCCCTCCATCCCACCCAGGACCCCCAGGGTCCCTCTGTCCCACCCAGGACTCTCCATCCCACCCAGGACCCCCAGGATTCCTCCATCCCACCCGAGACCCCCAACCCCAGGGTCCCTCCATCCCTCCTGGGACCCCCAAGGTCCCTCTGTCCCACCCAGGACTCTCCATCCCACCTGGGACCCCCAGGGTCCCTCCATCCCTCCTGGGACTCCCAATCCCAAGGTCCTTCTGTCCCATCCAAGACCCCCAATCCCAAGGTCCCTCCATCCCACCCGGGACCCCCAAGGTCCCTCTGTCCCACCCAGGACCCTCCATCCCACCTGGGACCCCCAGGGTCCCTCCATCCCACCCAGGACCCCCAAGGTCCCTCCATCCCACCTGAGACCCTCAGGATCCCTCCATCCCACCTGGGATCCCCAGGGTCTCTCCATCCCCCCCAGGACCCCCAGGGTCCCTCCATCCCACCAGGACCCCCAACCCCAGGGTCCCTCCATCCCTCCTGGGACCCCCAATCCCA